TTTTATGTTTATTCAAATACACTGTAAGAACTTAAAATTTTAATATTAAAACTATGACTTGAATGCATAGCAACCATTGTGAATCAAATGTAGGATTGAAATTTAAAGACTTGATGAAATAGAGAATTTAAAGAATACCTCAGGGGTCTGTCTAGGTTTTTCTGAGAGGTACCAGTTTTGTGAAAATGTAGACATAATTTGTAAAAATTAAAATTTTTTTTAAAAAATCAACACAAATATGGAAAAAATATGGATTTATCATTTCTTACGAGACACAAAAATAAAATTTTAAGAAAAAAGTATTTTGTGAAATGATTCTACCGTTCTTCCTAAAGTTGAATTTGTGATGGTACCATTGGCTTGAACAAACCCCTGTAGTTTAACTATTAAAGCAAAGCTGCATTTAACAAACTATAATTTTAATTTGTGATTTCTTTTTTTTTTTTCTCTTGATTTTTAAAATGACCAAATAAATGTAACAGAATGTGTTTATAAATGTAGTCATTCATAAAAAAAATAAATAAATATTTAATCTATATATTTTTATATTAAAATATTCATTTTTAATTCTATATTAAAATAGATAATATCTAAAAAAAATTTTAAAAATCTATGTACTTATTGGAATTTTTTTCAAGCTTCAGAAATATATATTTTCCACCAATAAAATATAATGTATATTTTAATTCAATGCTTTTTCATTCTAAAGGTAGAATTTTAATTAACATTATTTGCATTATTTTTTTAAAAAAATTCATGTTTATTAATTACTTTCCACAGCTATGCAAGTCTATATTAAGACAGCATTAAATGTTTACTCTGTACTATATAATATAATCTATAAAATGTATAGTCTCACGAATCCAAAGAATTTTAAAAATATAATTTCAGATAAGTTGGAATGTAACACAGACCAAGAAAAAAAGGTAATTTCGTTAACTAAAATTAATTAATGCAGCAATTTATTTAAAACTAAGAAACGAAAATAATAAAAGTAACAATAATTTAAAACACTTGTTTTTTAACTTTTAAAATCAATATGTATATAAAAAAAATTAGTTGATGATTTTATAAAAAAAAAATCATTTGATTTAAATCATGATTCAATTCGTGATTTAAATCAAGCTGATTTAAATCAACAAACACTGAATATAACTACCAAAAAACTCTTTCATGAAACTTGTTTGTCCTAAAATAGTTTTATGTAGTAAATGATAATTTATTTAATATTAGATATAAGTGTTGTTGTTTTTGTTTTGAAATTATGAGATTTTAAAATTATGTTTAACTATATATATTTTATAATAGACTTTTAGAGAAAAAAATACTAAATAGTTTACTTAAGGTTAAAGGAGTTAATTGCAAAATTGACTCATTTCTCTTAATGCAAAAAACAATTAGTTACTACTGCACTTTGATGTGGGCAAAAATATTTTTCTATGTGAATTCATGATGTAGTTGGCAACAATCAGTATTTTTTTCATTTAACAATTTAAGTTTATAAGAGAAAAACGGTCATCATTAACCAAATTACAGTCTTTATCATTTCATTATTCATCACTTAATTCAATTTTGCGCAACATAAGTTATTTTAATTGTTTCTATTATCGTTGAAAAAATTATAATCGCAAAATATTGATTTCACCAAAAGCAAAAATAGTTGTTTACAATTGTAACATAAATGTTTAAAATTATGACTTACCTGTAAAGTCGCTGCACAGGTGTATTTTTTTCTTTAGCAACTCTCTCTTTCAAACTCTCCGTGAATTTTATTCTCTTAACCTCATTTTCATGCGATTCATGGTTGTGAATCCCTGATTCACTGACAACAATAGCCTCATCTTCTAATTTTACGCGTGCACTACAGTAATTATTTGGGCTTCGATGCTTACATCTCCAGAAACTAAAATTATCTTTCGTTCTTCGCAAGTGATATATATATATCCATTGAGGACTAAAAGTTTGGCTCCTCTCTCCGACTTTAAAAATTCCACGCTAGACATGACTCTTTTTAAAAAAATCACACGTGCTCAGTAAATCACAAATATCGGGAATGATATGTTCAATGACGAAATTCGATAAAATCGCCAAATGTCCGATGTGAGGTTTGGCGAAATTCACGACGAGCCAAGAACAAAATTTATGTTAACCTTTCTTGTTGTAAAAATCCTTCTTAAGTTCTTGGCTACTTACAAATAAGCCAAGCAAAATTGGAAATTAACCCCTATTAAACCCCTCCAGTTGACTATTACTCTTGTCAAGTCTTCTATTCACACTTACCCCTTCGTTACCCTCCCTCTAATTTCGCCTTGGGGGGTTTGGGGCAGATCGCTAGTGGAATCCTTATATCATTGCTCACATGTAAACGTGTACAATGAGAAATGATATTTTAAAAAAATTGAATTTAATAAATAACATCAGTTCCTAATTTATGTAAAATGAAGTACACTACTGTTTGTTTAAAAAATTAAAATGATTCACAAAATCATATATATATATATATATATATATATTGTTATTTTTAAAAGAACTAAAACATAAGAATGAAATTTTATGTGATCCAAAATATTTCATTAAAAACACTACAATTCATTTATAAAAGGTGGAAAAAAAAGTGTCTTATTTTTTACCATCACCTTTAACTTTGATCACTGCATATAAACAATGTTGCATGGAATAAACAAGTGTTTGGCAAGTCTTAGTAGTCCTATTGCTTTTCATTAGCTCAACTTTTTTTATTAGAGCAACTTCTTATAGTTTTTTCTTTAATATCCAAAAATTTGGGTAAGATCTGGGAAATTGGTAATAACTTGCTACTGTGGCATTGTAATTTTGTGTTAAGCGAGATCTTAAAATATTTTAATGTATGATGTGGGGCTAGTTGGAAAATGAAATCATCTTCATTTGTTCTCATGCAATTCCATACGATCACATTAGCTTCATGGACTTTTTCCGATACTGTTGTATAATTGCTTATCCAAACTCAAATGCCTTGATTTCCGTAAGAGGCACAAAACATAGTTTCTTCACTAATATTTTCTTTCAGTCCATCAATCCCCATAATAAACTTGATTTGCATCATCACTTTCTAGTAAGCTTTTGTTTTATAGTCTCAAAT